AATATTGGTGTTAGCATTAATTTAATGCTAATACTAATGCTAATGCACGACCCCTAGTCAAAAAAGTTGGTGAAATGTTACCGTAAAGAGTCTAAGAGAAGGCATGAATCGGATTCCTGGTATCCTCATGATATAGTACCAAGACTTATAAACTTGGCATTCTGTCGTGGCATATTACTTTCTTGCTAAGATTTTAGCTAAGTTTGGCTATGAATTTCAATGGGATTTTGCTATGAAGATGATGAGAAGGTCTTGTTAAAACCTTTTCAATTTATGTTAAAGTCTTCTTTTCTACATAAGATTCGATCTAATCTTTGCTGAATTCTGATATTATCGTGTCAATATCTCATGAATGTAACGTGCCCGTAGCATGCAGTGTATGCATGATACTTTCCTCTTCTTACTACTTCTTCTCATCTTATGTATTGTCCTTATCTTTCTGTCATTACTTCGTACATCATGTTGCACTTTGTCCTTCTCTTCCTTTCTTCTATCTGATGGAGGAGTATATAAGCGTATGCTTTGTATGTAAACGATGCGGTTATAGATAGGAAGAAATATAATAAAGCGTAGTTCCATCAGCGCTAGTTCTTCTTCCATCTAAAATCGTCACAATGAAAGATCAGTGTTTTGTCTTCTGAGAATGAGAAATGCTTGTTCTTGAAAATCTATTGATTGCATCTTGGAAAATTTGGAAAAGAATTCTTTTTTGCAAGTATACATCCGATTTCTGGTATTCTGACGAAATCTTGTTAGAATTTTGCAGTTCAGGATTCATCAGGTGACGGTTTTATTCTTCGTTATGCTTCTACTTTTGTATAATGAGAACTCTAAACCAGATTCTCGTATGAGGATTTTGAACATATATTTCTAAAAATCGAATAACATAGTGATGATGAAGAAATCTTTGTATCTTGAAGCATTCGCTGATTTCACTTATAAATAGACGAATAGATCAGAGACCGAAACGAGTCAAAAAAATTCAACTCGACTCGACTCGACTCGACTGAACCATTCAATCGACTCGGCTCGACTCGACATGCATCTGAAAAACATCTGACTCGGCTCGACTCGAGCCGAGTCGAGTCGAGCCGCCGAGTATCGATTCAAAATCGAATGTTTAGAAGTACATTCTTAATATCAAGAATGAGAAGAAATTTAGACACACATTTCACTTGTATCATAGTGTTGAAACATCCATGTCGGACCATACGAAAAGGAAACCGTCAGCTTCAGGAAATTGCGGCAATTTCTTGAAAGCAGTATTTGAGACTTGGAGATCTCAGATTTTTTTTCTGTGTCTTCCCATTAAAATCCTGTCTTTGTCGCTCAAAGATGGTCGGAAGTCATCGAAAAAGTCCTTCGCTCTCTCCACTTGATGTACTGCTTTGATTTTCTATCGATTTTCGGAGGTTCTCTGTCAGAAACAGAAATTTTCTACAAGGTTTCTACTCGGTTTGAGAGCTTGGAATTATCGTCTCGAATAATTCTGAATCATTTTCTTGCGCGATTTCGGCAATACTGCAGGCCGATTTCTTCTCCCCATAAATGTTCCAAGACTATTCGAAACGGTCCTATTGGATGGAATGGTTAACATATTTCATCGATTTCAATATTCTAAATACGATCAAATATTTGATCATATAAACATCCATTCTGTTTTGATCATCTTTTTGCGATAGATAATGAAATAATGCAATACACTACTAAATCTGTTGCACGTCGCATGCCGATCACTTACATAGGCTGACGATCAATCAAGTCATTGCATTCTAATTAATCTTTGAACAGTCAATAATGCATTGAATACAATGAAAGCTATAGTGTATATCATTCATTGTAGTTTATTTAGCGTCGTCAGTTCATCGCTGTCTATTCATTTTAATGCTTTGTTCAACCTATTCATTGAAATGAATTGACATTGTCTCATCTCGGTTCATCTAACGATGACGATGACTAATATTGAGAAACAAATGATAGAATTATGAAGAAATTTTTAAAAAGTCGAATCGTTGGGGTCAAATTCGACTCGACTCGACTCGACACATTTCTCAAACTTCGCACTCGGGATCGACTCGACTCGGCGTGAACCGAGTCGAGTCGAGTCGATTTGTCGAGTACTCGACTCGTTTTCGGTCTCTGGAATAGATAGGTTATGTATCCAAGCTGTGAATATTTTATTTTATTTCATTCTTCTCATTCGATTAGTTGATATTTCTCATCAAGCATATGATTTGCCAGCCTTTTCTTGGTAATGAGTCTAAGACAGTTTTAGGATATACCCAAGGTAACATTTCTCTGCCAGAGAAGCAAATAAAAATATAAATTTAAATAATAAAGACACTAAAATTAAAATAAAACACGTGACTATGAGTTTTCTTTTCTTGCCCGATTTTATGTGACTTTGTGCATTCAGTTTTCATGAGTCTTCGTTGCTTTAGAGTACTTCAGTATATCGACTATTTCAAATTTGAAAAAAAGGTTATTTTTTAATGACCCAATCGCTTATTTTTTTCTCTTCAGTTTGATTTTGTGCATTTCTATATTATTTTCTATTAATTTCCTCATTTCTTTGAATATTTATCCCTTCCACTCATATTACGTAGTAAACGATTCTTTTTTGTCGCATTTTCATTTCTATTTATGCATTACTTGACATTTTTTTTAGGCATTGATTGCATTGTTTTTCTTATAGTTAGTTAAAAATTAATGTACATGATAGATTGTCTACCGAAGGCAAGTGGTTGAATATAAGTTTGTTTTAAAATTTTTAGTACTTTCATTGAAATTGGACATGCATGTAAAACGATTGAATGTTTTTTTGTTTTTCTATTGACGTCAGCAAAGATGATGAAAAAGCGAATAGTTATAGTTAGATATCATAAATAAGTTTCAATTATACTTTTCATAAGGTTCGATCTTATTTTGATTTAATTTTTGTATATTTCCAATATACAAAGTCGAACAGATTGAAAAGATATATTTTGAAATCTAATATCTAAATATTGGAAAGATACAAAAAGAAACACAGTTAAAAGTAGTAGAATCACTTTTATCATTATATCTTCACATGTTGCTTGAGCCCCTCTCCCTAGAAGAAAAGTCGATTTTTTGTGAAAACTATGAAAATTCAGATAAATGCATAGGAAGATAGTATGAAGTCAAATCTTTTAAAAACGACATGACTTTTTATGTAGCACTTCATTTTTGTTTGAAAAAACGTCTGTCATTTTCTGCTTGAAAAAATATGGTTCCTGAGATAAATATGAAAATCATTTTTGCTTTTTCTTAGTTTATGTTTTTTTGATTGGGCATCCCAGCATGTTCGAAGGAGCTTCATTTTAGTCTATGACTTTTTCTTCGATTTGAGAGAGTATGTCAAGAGACAGGGCATGACAGAGTCCTTTCTTAAATTGATCTTCGTTATTATCAAATAAACAAGTAGTTTTATAATTAGAATGCCATTTTTTTGAGAATGTAAGAATTGGGGTGTGGATGTGGGTGTGTATGGAAAGAATCAGCCCACACTCACACCCACACCAAGAGCCATACACACGTCATTTTTGTATCATGAATAAAACATGATGAGGATACGTCGAATGGTATTTAAGCAAACTTTCTAGCTGTCACAGTTTCGAAGATAATTGATAAAAAATGTGGCAAGAAAAGTAACAGTATTACGTTTGAATAAGATGTTTCACTCAAAACAAGATATTTTTGATTCAAACAACAAAAAAAATCTAGAAACTTCAAGTATGAGTAAATTTTTATAGGATCATACATTTTTATATTTGAATTTTGGACTGACTTGTTGGTCTAATTTTGCAAGCGCTAGTCATATAAAAAATGACAAAATAGAAAATAAATGAAAATAAGGATCAAAATTGTAATTTTTGTGTGTCGAAAAGTTGTTCGCTAATGTTGACTTTAATTTGAAACAATCCCAAGTTCTATAGCTTTAAATAAAGATATAGTCTTAAGAGATTCTCAATGTAAGGCATAAATATCGCCTATCCATAAGTTAATTAATTATTGTTGAAATTTGTAGACCCGGAAACGAACCTTGTTATAAGCTCCAAATGAGAGCTAAGAATAGATTTCTCTATGTAAAAAAGAACGTATTATAAAAATCGATTCTAGAAGAACCACATAATGTGTTAAAAAAATAACTTCTAATGAGCATGTGATTTTGCAGATAAAACTATGAAAAACAAAAAGAAAAAAAGCAAAGCAATAGAGAAATTTCAGTTGTGTAGTCTGGCGAAGTTTCTTTTGTCTAGAATGTTTTTTAAAACATGCGTTTAACGTAAATATAGAAAAACAAATTGGCAAGAAAACTAATGAAATAGTTTCAACTTCTAATAATTTTATTTTTAATTTAAAAATACCTGTAGAACTATGAACTTTTATTCTTTTTCTCGATCTATGAAGAAAATTGCAAGTTCGTTTGAACTTAGAACAAAAAAGCAATATAGTAAATAATTGAATGTTCTCTCATGAAGTTGCTATAATATCTAATAATATATAAAGAAAAAGTTCTATTAAAACAAATATGAATATGATAAAGATATTTTTGCTGTTTTAATTAGTTTATTTCTATTATTTCATGACTCTCTGTCTCACTCTATCTATTAGTCGATAAAAGGATGTGAGATTCCAATGTTTTCTATATATATATGCATCTTCATAATTACATCTTTCATCGAACTCAAAAAAGATTCATTATTTATTATAGAATGATTATCGTGATCTATTTCTCTTTCCAAGCAAAACAAAAAGAACTTTATTTATTTGTATTAATGATTTATTAATTACGTACGATGACTTACATTTCAACTCTACTAAAATTTTTTTTTGAAGTCCACTAATTCAAATATAAGATAAAAAGATAGTCGAAAAGAACAGCAAAATAATAACATATATCAATAGTTATTCTATGATAAATTAAGTAATAAAGAAAACCAAAACGAAAACACCTCAGTGTCAAAAGAAGAAATCTGAAACAAGTCAAAATTCGGAACGATGTTGACTTTGCAAAAACTCAAATGAACTTTTCACTTTTTTCTCTCTTATTTTATCCTCTCTCCTTTCTCTCTCGATTTCAGTTCATCCATTACGTGGGAGTTCTATTGATATTCATCCGAATGCTCAATGGCAACAAAATGGTATCACTGTAGCTGGAGGAAATCGACAAGGCAATCGAATCAATCAACTCTCAGACCCATTGGGTTTGTATGTTGATGATGATCAAACAATCTATGCTGCTGATTATTCGAATCATCGTATTGTGGAATGGAAACAAGGTGCAACAAGTGGCCAAGTGGTTGCCGGTGGAAATGGACAAGGGAGTGGAGATCATCAATTGTATACTCCAAGAGATGTGATTATCGACAAAGAGAGAGATAGTCTCATCATATGCGATTTTTCGAATAGAAGAGTGGTTCGATGGCCTCGTCGAAATGGGACAAGTGGAGAAAAAATCATCTCCAACATCTTTTGTGTGGGTTTGACAATGGACGAGAATGGATCTCTCTATGTCACTGATGATGTAAAACATGAAGTGAGACGATATCGAAAAGGAAAATCTCAAGGAACAGTGATTGCAGGTGGCAATGGAAGTGGAAATCGTCTCGATCAACTCTCTTCCCCACGATACGTATTCGTCGATCGAGATCATTCAGTATACGTATCTGAATGGGACAATCATCGTGTGATGAAATGGATGGAAGGTGCAAAACAAGGCATTATTGTGGCTGGTGGTCAAGGAAAAGGAAATGATCTTACACAATTGTCATATCCTCGAGGAGTCGTTGTCGATCAATTGGGCACTGCCTATGTGGCTGATGCAGGAAATAATCGAATCATGCGTTGGTCTAAAGGAGCCACACAAGGAAGTGTCATTGTTGGTGGACGCGGTAGTGGAGAACAATCGAACCAACTCAATTGGCCCGTCGGTTTGTCATTCGATCGACACGGTAATCTCTATGTTGTCGATTATGGAAACCATCGAGTTCAAAAATTCGAACTACAATCCAATCCAAAGTGAACCCGAAAACATAGGAAAGACATTCACAATTTCATAAATGACTCACCCAATTAATTAATTAACACAACTAAATCAATTAACACTGTATTCCCATTACATTATAATAAATAAATAAAACTAACCCTAATTATAAAAAACAAAAACACATATTCTATACTAGGAAACCTTAAACACACAAAAAAGGGAAACAACAAAAGCACCATGGACATCGGGCTGCCTTCCCTCAAAGAGAAAACCTTGAATTTTCCCGGCCGACTCCAAGGATTCCATTATACACAACAATGTCTGGTATTTCAAATATTGTAGATCATGATCAATTCTATCAGATTCGAAGGATTCTCAAAGGTCCTGCAGTGGGAACCCATGCAACTTTCGACCTCCTTGAAATCCCTATGGTCACCATAGGACTTTCAGAGGGTACGAAGGATTCCAAGGATTCCATGAGACAAAACAATGTCTGATATTTCGAATATTGTAGATCATGATGAATTCTATCAGATTCGAAGGATTCCAAAAGATCTCGAAGTGAGAACTCATGCAAACCTTGACCTCCTAAAACCCCTTTAGTCACTATAGGACTTTTGGAAGATATCAAGGATTCCTCGGATTCCATGATATAAAACAATGTGTGGCACTCCGAATTTTGCAGATCATGATGTATTCTATCAGATTCCAAGGACTCCAAAAGATTCTGAAGTGGGAACCCATGCAAACCTTGACCTCCTCAAAACCGCTATGGTCACCGTACGACAATCAGAGGGTACGAATGATGTCAAGGATTCCATGATACAAAAAATGTCTGTCATTTCGAATATTGTAGATCATGATGAATTCTATCAGATTCGAAGGATTCGCAAAGATCCTAAGGTGGGATCCCATGCAACTCTGGGCCTCTTTAAAACCCCTATAATCACCATAGGACCTTCAGAGGATACCAAGGATTTCAAGGATTCCATGATATAAAACAATGTCTGGCATTTCGAATATTTTAGATCATGATGAATTCTATGAGATTTGAAGGATTCCAAAAGATCCTGCAGTGTGAACCCAGGAAACTCTGGGTCTCCTTAAAACCACTATGGTCACCATAGGACTTTCGGAGGGTACGAAGGATTCCATGACATAAAAAATGCCTGGTATTTCGTATATTGCAGATCATAATGAATTCTATCAGATTCCAAGGATTCCCAAAGATCCTGAAGTGGCAATCCATGCAACTCCGGACCTCCTTAAAACCCCAACGCTCGCCATGCGACTCTCAGAGGATAGCAAGGATTCCATGATACAAAACAATGCCTAGCATTTCGAATATTGTAGATCATGATGAATTCTCTCCGATTCCAAGGATTCCAAAAGATTCTGAAGTGGGAACCGATGCAACTCTAGACCTTCTTATACCGCTTTTGGTCACCGTAAGACTTTTGGAGGATATCAAGGATTTCATGGATTCCATGATATAAAACGATGTGTGGCACTCAGAATATTGTAGATCATGATGAATTCCAACAGATTCGAAGGATTCCCAAAGATCCTGCAGTGGGAACCCATGAAACTCTGTACCTTCTTAAGACTCCTACTGTCCCCCTAGGACTTTCAGAGGATACCAATGATTCCAAGGATTCCATGATACAAAACAATGCCTGGTATTTCGAATATTGTAGATCATGATGAATTCTCTCCGATTCCAAGGATTCCAAAAGATCCTGAAGTGGGAACCGATGCAACTCGATACCTCCTTAAAACCCGTATGCTCACTAAAGGACTTTCAGAGGATACCAAGGATTCTATGATATAAAAAAATGTCTGGTATTTCGAATATTGTAGATGATGTTGATTTCTATCAGATTCGAAGGATTCGAAAAGATCGTGAAGTGGGAACCCATGCAACTCTGGACCTCCTTAAAATCTCTATCCTCACTATAGGACTTTCAGAGGATACCAACGATTCCAAGGATTCCATGATATAAAACAATGTCTGGTATTTCGAATATTGTGGATCATGATGAATTCTATCAGATTCCAAGGATTCTAAAAGATCCTGAAGTGGGAACCCATGCAACTCTGCATCTCCTTGAAATCCATTTTGGCCACTATAGGACGTTCAGAGCATATCAAAGATTCCAAGGATTCGATTATATAAAACAAGTAACGTTCATCGACATTGAATGTCGATTCACTTGGCCTTAGAGTGAGGAATGATGACAAGTATGTCCTTCGATTTTTAAATAAAAATGAACTGTGTATAATGATGAGTTTAGGAGAAATGATTGATCTTTGTATTTATCAAGATTTACATGTAGGGTCACAGTATTTTCCTGTTGTTCAGTCTTAAAAATATTATATTGGTCGAAAAAGAACTGGGACTGATGTTTTCTCGATATAAAAGCTTGTTAGCGCAGCTCCTGCGGAGCAAAAATGTGGAACTCACGTATACCTTTAGCTTTGTTACCTGACGCATCATCTGTATACTGAAAGACTTCTCGTCAACTATAGTTGTTTTGCTTGAGAATCGATGAAAAGAGCGGGAATTTATTATTTATTTGTATATTAAAAAAATATATTAAAAAAGAAAATATTGTTTTTTCATTTAAGCGCGCTC